GTCGCACTATTGAAATCCAAAGGAGGGCATTCAAAAGGCAATTTCCTTGCCGCTATCGGGACGTCTCCGGCCCAGGACTTTTTCCCTACTGCGGCGAGTTCAATGGAGTTATTGAGACATGCACGAGCAAAGTGGGACAGCTTGAGGGACTGGATGTACTGCAGATAGCCAAGGAGTAGCAAAAATGGACGAATTCGAAGGGGCATAATTCCAGTCTCCGTGAAGAGTAGTACGAGCATGGAGTGGGAATGAACATTCAGAACTTGCCGCAGAAAGTCAATTTGAACCGCGCAGAGTTGCTTCACGTGGACATCTTCAGAGTCCGGCGAAACCTCACACCCATGAATAAGGTGACAGTCAACGCGTGCCATATACATGTCCTTGTACTGCTTCGGTGTTAGCCGGCCCGTTGAATCTTCAATGCCCATTATCCTGTGCGCGCAGTACCTCGCTGTACTTGCTTTCGCGTTGTAATGATCTGCGAACATGTTTCGAGTGCCTGTGTTGAAGTTCATTCCAACATACTTCTCCTGGACCTCAATATTCAGAATATTTGCTCCGAGTCGGAACTGGAGGCCTGCGGGTGACTTTCCAAAGATCATTATGATAGTTTTAATCATATTTACCACAATGAAATTCTTCGAACACCAGGCAGCAAGTGCGTTGAGTCTGCGCTGAAGTCCTGCAGCCGATAATGACATTAAAAGAATATCATCAGCTTGAGCCAGGATAGCAATTCGAACGTTGGAGAGGATCGGGTCGTCGGGGTCATCTGGCATGACTAGGTCGGCCATGACCAGATTCCACAACACTGGAGACGCAGGGTCGCCAGTGAGTAAGCCTATAAAAGCCTTAAACTCCGCCGAGGTTTTATCTCCATGCCGAACGTAGTATTCCATTCCTAAATTCTGGTCCTCATCAAAGTGCAGCGGAATCCTGTGCGCTGAGGCATGGAACTTCGAGCCGAGTTTGAATTGAGGACTCCGTTGCAACAAAAACGAAGGCGAGCACTGGCACCACCACAAAGAAGGAGGTCGCGCTCCGTATATGTGGCGCGCCCACATGCCGCTCCCTCGCCCTCGCCTTCCGCGTACTCCTCCATTGCAGCCGCGCGCACACGCTCCATTGCCCGCCCATCGTTCTGGCCGAGCATCTGCGCCGGCTGCTCTCGTCTCATTCTCCAGCCCTCCTCGCGTTGCCTACCCCTTGCTCGGCCTTCTCGCGCCCTGCAGCCTCTCGCTCAGGAATCAGCTGCTCAGAGTCGGCGCTGCCGGCATAACCTTGACACATGAGAACGCGGGAGGAGAGACGGGAGAACAATGGAGGAGAGGAGGGCGGGAGACGATGGAGGCAGGGGAAGGCGGAAGAGAAGCAACTGTTCTCGTGCTGCCGAAGAAGGATAGGCGCGAGTGCAAGAACACGTATCGTGCCGAGAGTACAACACCGCGCATGGTGCCGAGAGCACAAGAACGCACATCGTGCCGAAAGTACAAGAACGCACCTCGTGCCGGGACGCTCGTTCGCAAGACCCGCGCGCCCTTTGCGCCTTCGCCCTTACAAAGCCAGCCCGCACCGCCTTGCATGCCCGCACGCACGCCCAATGCCGCTCGTCATCCTCCCTTGCGCGCGCTCGCTCATCGTCAGGCGCTACCGGGGGAATACGTTGCGAGGCTATTGCGCGGGTCTTGGATCGCGGCTAGGAGCATCTGCGTCCGTCCGAATCGCGCGCGCCGTTCCTGGACCTCAGACTGCAGCCGTCCTCAACACGGAAAGGAGGGGAGGACACGACGCACAGATGCGCATGCGCCAAATCCGCACCTTGGTGGGCTTGTGGATCATCGTGGCTGGGATGCACGGTGCGCCTGAGGACCGCGTCAATATGGAGCGAGGGGCGAGGGGGGACGGAATGTACAGTACAGATGACATGCATCCTCAGTCCATGACTGCGTCGCTCTCCTTCGAGTCTCCGCCGCCCGTCTCGCGAACATGCACGCGGGCTCCTGCGCTCCGAGCCAACACCCCCAGCAGATGTCGTCAGCTCCACGCCCGCCTCCGGGCTTGAGGATCGTTTTTCGTTCCGCCGCAAACGTTCATGCGCTCGACGATCCTGGATATGGCGTCAACATGGAGAGGGAGGACAGAGGAGGGGCGTACGTAGGGATGCTGCAAGCCTCCGCATCGGTCCGTGCCGCGGAGGGCATCTGCGACCCTGCGTGCTCGACGTCAATACGGAGAGAGAGGGAGGACATACGAGAGAGCACGCACGGATGGTCCAAGCCGGCTTCAATTCGTTCAGCCGCGAACACACATCTGCGATCCCGGGCGCGCGATTCTGGAAATGGCGTCAATACGGGCTCAGAGAAAGCGGGAGGGGAGCAGGCACGGATGCGCCAAGCCTGCTGCGCGATCACCACCCTGCTCGGTCAAGACGTGGTAATAAGCATGGAGTGCCCCCGGCGCCGCGCGCCTCTGATTCGCCCATGCACAGGCGCAGGCGGACTTGCGCGTAGCGATGTTATTCACAAATGATTACAACACATGAAGGAGGGCCGGGGACGTACGAGCAGCAGCAGTCCCGCGGTGAGCACCGATGCGCGGGGGAGCGCGCAGGGAGATCTGCGTCGATGCACGCTCCGAGTCCACATCCGAGGCGGGCTGGATTTGTCGCGCTGCGGGACGTGGAGAAGCTGCGACCATACGCAAGTGCAATCGTCAATACCGCGCACGCACGAGGGAAGGGGAGGGGGACGTACGGGATCTACGGTGACGGCCCCCGCATAATTTCATTCAAAGAGCCCTCTCACACGTTCCGACTCTTGACTCGGGCTTGCGCAGCTGCGACGGGATGTGCGGCAACGTCGACGGTACTGGGCACTGCCTGCGAGTGGGGCGGAAGAGCGGAGTCGGGGTGGGTGGTGGATAAGCAAAAGCGGTGGCCGGGCGCGCGACACGTATTGCAATTGCGACGCTCGGGAAGCGGTGGCGTGCATCTTGGATTCGTTCGCTCCCTAGCAGCAGCTGCGCACGCGGCCTCGAAGAATCCAGAATACGTGATCACGGGAGAAGGCGGGAGGATGCCAGGAGCTTACCAGCGCTGCCATTGACGCCGCGGGATGCGCGAGGGAGGGACGCTGGCCATCCGAGGTGATGAGTCTGCGACCGTAGTATGTACCTGGCCGCTAGGGATCGTCACCGTCCGTCCCGGCCGACGGACGGCACCAAAGCCGGCCGTCCAGTGGACCGTCCGTCGACGGTACGGTAGAGCAGCATCTCTCGCGATGCTCGACGGGACGGGACGGTGGACGGGACGGCCGTCGACGGTGGACGGACGGTCAGTCAGCAGGTAAGTTCAGGGCTCAAGCCCGTATGAAATTAAGGCATGAAATGTAGCGTAAGTATAGCTTTACTTACCCGGCATGTCATTTTTCCGGTCCAAGCTCGGTCAATTGTACCCTTGGGTCACTTCTCGACTCGTTGAGCTATGATGCCGTCATCACCTCGAACTTCCTAGAATGGTAACTTACCTTACGTGCAGCGGGCGTGGCGCCGTATGCGCGGTGTTCAGCAGCGCGTAAATGCTGTTCGCACGTCCGTTTCGATCCGGGCGTCAAGATAAACCACCTAGTGTGTATTCTGCTGTGCCAAGAAACAGAAGCGAACACACGCCTGGCGACCCACTGGTCTCGATAGTCCACACAAGCATTACTTCCTTCAGGTACTTCATCTGGGGGTATCAAAATAACTGTGGACTATATCCGCTCACTAACACAGGGTATGAGTCACTGACAGTGCGAAATTAAGTAGCACCTCACCCAACATCCGTCCGTCCTCCCGTCCTCTGGTGGACGGGACGGCCGTCCTCCCTGCCGTCCGTCGACGGGACGGTGGGCTCGAACAACGTTCGATCCAAGGACGGGACGAGACGGTTTTCCGTCCGTCCGTCTGCCCAACCGTCCTGGACGGGTACGGTGACGATCCCTACTGGCCGCGTTGTCGCAGTGCGATGTCCGAGTTTTACACAGCCACCGCCGTGTTCGGTCCGGGTGGTGACCGTGACCTATCAAGTTGAATCCAAGCAAAGTAATTTCCTGTGATGCACACAGGACTGCGGCGTGCGTTCGCGCACCATCGAATCTATCCACCCATCCGTGTGGGTTCTCGACGGCATACATCGCTCAATATGGGACATTAATCAAACATTAATGGTCTCTGCCGCCGAATGTTCCCAAATCCAGAATCTAGATGCGCCGTGGGTGTTGCGCGGCTCAAAGTGAGCAACAAAATAACGCAAATTTAAATAGGTTCCTAGCTGGTGCATTGAGGCCCAGTGGCGGATGTTCTGCGCCTGCACTCAGCCGGTACCATATATCTTTGCAGGAGTCGCTCGTTCGAATCGAGCCTGGGCCTTAAACCGGGTAGCCCCATCGTTTTTTTCAGACCGAAAACGAGACAAAACTGACTTGAATGTGTTGGAGAACAGCAGTGGAAGGCCCAGTAGCGCATGGTCCGCGCCTACTCTCAATATGTCCTCTCTGCAAGCCCGTCCGCGGGAGGTGCTCGTTCGAATCCAGCCTGCTGTTAGGAACTGTCCTCTGCTTTTACTCTCCGACTCAACGAGACAACGCTGACTTAACTAAGCTCGCAGGTATAAGACAAAGGCCCAGTAGCGGATGGTCCGCGGCTGCATTCAATAATTACTGTCGACCCTGTCCGCGGGAGATGCTCGGTCGAATCGAGCCTGGGCCCTGGTCCACCAGCTGTTGTCTTTTTTTTTGTCTTTCGCGGAGTCAACTAAACAACACTGACTTATTTTTTTTGTAGGTACAAGAGGAGGGCCTAGTAGCGGATGATCCGCGCCTGCACTCAATAGTTTGTTCTCAACCCAGTCCGCGGAAGATGCTCATTCGACTCGAGCCTGAATCATAGTTTGTGTCGTCCGTCTTTTTTCTTTCCGGAGTCAAGAAACAACAATTTAACTTAGTCTATAGACAGCAGAGGAAGGCCCAGTGGCGGATGGTCCGTGCCTGCACTCAATGGATGGCGATCTCTACATAAGGTGTCATGCGGGAATCGCTCGTTCGAATCGAGCCTGGGTCATAGTGCTAATCAATCCTGAGCTTTTTATTCTCCAAGTCAAGAACCAACCCCGATTTGTATTGATTGATAGGCAGGATGGGAAGGCCTAGTAGCGGATGGTTCGCACCTGCATTCAATGCACGGCGGAACGATTTGTGCGGGGGATGCTCGTTCGAATCGAGCCTGGGCCATGCCTATTTTCCATCGCTTTTTATTCCCCCAACCAACGAACCAAGGCTGATTTAAATCAGTCAATAGGTACGGGAGGAAGGCCCAGTAGTGGATGATCCGCACCTGCTCTCAATCAATGGCTTCGACAACGCATTTTATGGGAGATCCTTGTTCGTCTCTTGTTCTTTCTCTTGTTTTCTGTCGCACCTGCATGTTATCTTATCTTTCACGATACATTTCTGCAGGAGATCCTCGTTCGAATCGAGCCGGAATCATCGGCCAAGATCTGCATGGTCTTTTATTCTCCGACTCAATGAAATGCAACTGATTCAAGGCAGTTCACATATATGAGAGGAAGGTCCAGTAGGATGGCCCGCGCCTGCACTCAATGGACCAGCGGCTGAATTTCTGCAGGAGGTGCTCGTTTGAATCGAGCCTGGGTCATAACTGTTCTGGGGAATGGTTTTTTCCCTCTTGAAGTCGACGGAACAACGCTAATTTAAACTCGTACGCAGGTAGAAAGGGAAGGCCCAGTGACGGATGGTCCGCACCTGCACTCAATTCGTAATCGGCGTGGAGTTGCACGCGGGAATCGCTCGGTCGAATCGAGCCGGGGCTGTATACTCTATATTCTCTCTGATCCTTTGTTTTCTCGCGGATTCAACCAACTACGCTGATCTAAATCCGTTTACAGGTATGATAGGAAGGTCCTGTAGCGGATGCTCCGCATTTTCCTCAATAGTTCTTCGCAACCCTGCCCGCGGGAATCGCTCTCGTTCGAATCGAGCCTGGGCCGCAGCTATTCTTCCTTTGTTTTTTTTCTCGGCGTCAGTGAACCGACATTGATTCAATTGAGTTCATATATCCGAGGGGAAGACCCAGTAGGAGATGATCCGCGCTTGCTCTTAATAACTCTGTCGGCAAGCCTGTCCGCAGGAGATGATCGTTCGAATCGAACTTGGGCCGTGCGCGTTCTGTTTGTTTATTTATCGCGGAATGGATGAAACAACGCTAATTTAAATTAGTTCGCAATGCTGCGCAGGAACCATATGAAGGCCAGTGTTGAATGGTTGATTCCGCATCTGCTCTCAATGATATGTTCAGAGCCTGTCTGGGGAGATGCTCGTTCGAATCAAGCCTGGGACCTATTGGGCCGCACGACGCTTACCCTTTTCTTTTATTTGCGAAGTCAACAAAATAATACTTAACCAACCACATTTGCAGGGATGAAAGGAAGGCCTAGTAGTGGATGATCTGCGCCTGCAATCAGTAAGGTTGGCGGTGAATTATGTGGGAATAGTTCGTTCGAATCGATCCTGGAAATCGCCGATATGAAACCCTTTTATTTTTGGAGGCAAGGAAGCTCTGTAGGACGTGTCGGCCGGGGCAAATCAATTTCATTCTGACCCAACTATAAATAAGGTAAGGTAATCCAGAAGAGTTGGTGAAATAAACTCCGTCTCAAGCAGAGTAAAATTGCTTCATGATTCAACCTGCAGTCGAGGCTGATACCGGCACAAGTTTCGCAGAATGAGACATGTTTGTGATTGCACTACGCGATCTTCGCTTTCCATTAGCGTCGAAACATTTGCCAGGATGTCTGTGTCTGCAATCGCCGCGACGCCCTTAGGATGCTCGCTGATTTGGGCTAGAGCGGAGAGTGCATTGAGCCGGGCCTGACTGCGACTGCTCGTTGTCGAATGAGTACTAATATATCTGATGACCTAGCCAAGGACTCACCGCAAAAGTGATACAAGCCGCACACAAGGCGTTGCGCGCAGGACGGCAGTCACTGTAGAGCCGTGGGACGCCAGTTCTCCAAGCATCTTGCATGTCTCTCGGACGACATCCAAGCGTGAGCGAAAAAGACCGTGCACCAAATCCATGACATTTGCTTCCACGAGAGCCTGCGCGCCTTCAGGGGATTTGGCGATCCAACGCAGTGCCTCTACCACATCTGCTTTCCCCTCGTGACTTCTGTTTATCAAGAGTCAGTATCTTGACGCTATATAATACCCCGGACTCACCCCAGGAGTGATACCAACTGTTTGCAGTGCGTTCTCCCGACGAGGGTCGCCAACATGCCGTCGTGGGCCGCCAGCATGCTGCACATCCAGCCCCGAGTATACCATCCCCGACTGTACCATCCTCGTGATTGAAGGAGGTCGGTGATATGGTCGAGCAGGTTTGCATCTATCGCCGCCTGCATGCCTTCAGGCGATTGTGTGATCGAATCGAGTGCCTCTGTCGCATGGATGATGACATTGAGATCTTCGTCACTGATCATGAATCAACAATCGACATATTGCAAAGCAAGAGTTGAGCCCACCGCAAGAGGGTTACGAGCTGCTCGCAGGTATTTGCTTTCAAGACCGCCGTTACTTCCTGAGATGCCAGCGCCCTCAGCAGATCACAAGCTCGCGACCGAACACTAGATTTTGGGGATCCCACCAGTTCCGCCAAGCCATCTAGCACATGTGCATCGACGACAGCCTGCCCACATTCCGGAGATCTGGCGATCCACACCAGTACGTGTAGTGCCTCCTCTCGGGCAAAACTATTCTCATCCCTGGTCCCGAATCAAGGATTGTCTGCCTCGGAAGTAAACTACCCGCACTCACCTCAGGAGTGATGCAACGTGTTTGCAGACGCTGGCCGCCCAGGTGGCGGTACGATCCGGACACTGTCTTGCCAGGTGTCCCAGCAAATCACACGTCAAGCCCTGCACTTCCGCGTTTCGTGATTTGAGGAAGAAGTCGAGAGAATACGATGAGAGGATATCCGCCACAGTGGCTGCGTTATCCTCCCAAGAATCACATCTCGCAGTCAGTTCCCTGAGAATCGCGATCTTCGTGGCAGATGATACATATTTGAACCTGTACATGGGATCAGTTAGACAGAATTCAAGAGGGAGGAACATTAGACCATAGATAACTAGCATAAATCTCCATATCCTCTCTCGAAAGCGGCTTGCCGCGACGTCCGGCGATGCAGTCCAGCGCCTGCCGGTGATGCATGAGTCGCATCAAGGGCTTCGCGAGTGCATGTAGGTTGATGTTGGGGCCGGTCGGATTGTTGTCGGACCACCAGCTGAGGACACTCTCAAGGGTCCTTTGGCGGGTCAGTGAGTGCATGGCGAGAAGGGGAGAGGAAGGTGGAGAGAGCGTGTAGGCAGAGCGGAAGCCTCGTGGTGTGGTGCTGCTATGTTTAGAATAGCTCAGGCCTCAACGTGGCCATGGCTGTACGGATTCGCACTTCAGACGATACTGCTGTGTTCATTCTAAGAATCATGATGACCTGCAAGCAATCGAGACGGCTGCATAAGCGTTCTCGTTAAATTTAAATAAGCGGATAATTGTGCACATCCTATGGATTTTAATAAAACCGGATCTATGGCACTGCGGCACTCTGCGGGGAGAGTGTCGAAGGCATTCCGTTCGGTAGGGGTATGATTCCATGGAGAATTTAAAGTATCCGACGAAAATTGAAAGGAGCCTGAGGATCTCGAACCGAAGACTGCGCCCGGACTGAATCCAGTCCGTAGACGATGCTGCGCAAGACATTCGCTCCCGATCTTCACCATGCGGGGTAATAGCAGAGATCTTGGGCGTCCCGTATCCGTTCAGTTGACAAGGATTTGAAAGCGTCAAAAACGGAGGACAAGCACGCACCCGCCGCACGTTCGAGGCCCACAAACGAGCTGAATTTGAGTCTTCGAGGACGGCCACTCCGCCCCCGATGCGGTAAGCACCACAGAAGCTGTAGGCGAGTGATTAACGGAAGGTAAATAGTGAAAGGAAGGAATACATCATTCACCACGCCATGCGATCGGTTCCGCAATTCGAGGTCCAGGAGAAGTCAGTTCCGGGCCGGCGCAGAGCGTAGGTCGCGGCTCGACAGCAGGAAGCGGGACTCGAGGGTGCAGACGTGGACAAGAAGGGGCCCCCAGCAGGCAGAGCTTCTCGGGGAATCAAAGAAACAAGAGAGCTACAGTGGGCAAGGAGGCAAATCGGGAGCCCGCGGACGTTGATGGGGCTCCTGGAGATGGCGGCGATACCGTTACGGAGCGGGATGACAGAGGCGGAGCACGTACGGATGCGCCAAGCCTTGAACTTGTCCCGAACGCGCATCTGTGATCCTGCGCTCGGTGGGGCATCTGTGATCCTGCACTCCTGGGTAGAATAAGCGCCAATACCGTTACGGAGTGAAAGGGAGGACAGAGGAGCGGAGCACGCACGGATGCTCCAAGCGTCTGAATCCGGTCACTGCATCCTGTGCTCCTGTCGTCAATACGGAAAGGGAGAACAAGGGAACACGCACTGATTGCAACGCCGGGGTGAGCCCGTTCCGTCTCGACTCCCGACGGCGCCTCTGCGCTCCTGCGCGCGCACTCCTGGAGATGGTGGAGCGCGTGCGGATGTGCCAAGCCTTGAACTCATCCCGACCGCGCATCTTTGATCGATCCCGCGCGCGCGCTCCTAGAAACGGCGTCAGTATGGGGTGCGGGGAAAGCGACTTGCACTAGCTCTGTCGCGAACGCGCATCTGCGATCAATGCGGAGATGGAAAGCGGAGGGCGCACGTACGGATACTCCAAGTCTGCACCACCGCCTCCGGGCTTGAGGATCGTTCTTTGTTCGCTTGCTGACGTTCATGCGCGCGTACTCCTGGACATGGCGCCAATACGGGGCTCGTGAAAAGCGGGAGGGAACACCCACGTATACTCCAAGCCTCCGCATCCGCCCCCGTCCGCGCATCTGCGATCCTGCGCTTGGCGGCGCATCTGTGATCCTGCGCTCCTAGATAGTGTCAGTACCGATACGGAGAGAAAGGAAGGACAGAGGAGCGTCCGTGCATGCGCCCCGCGCATCTGGATCCTGCGTTCCTGTCGTCAATACGGAGAGGGAGGACAGGGGAGCACGCACAGATTGCAGCGCCGGCGTGAACTCGTTCCGTCCCGACTCCCAACCGCGCCTCTGTGCTCCTGCGCGCGCGCTCCGGGAGATGGTGCTAATACCGTT